TCTCCGGGTGCTCTGCCCGCTCCGGGGTGCAGGCAGGGCTCAGCCCCGCTCCGTGCCTCGGTTTCCCCCCGCACACACGCACAGCCCCGGGCATGCCTTCCCTGCCAGATCCCTCTCACAGCACCTGCCTGACGGATGCCTGTGTCCGGGTGGCCAGCAAGATCCTGGAGGCCCTGGATGCGGAGATGGACCCATGCCAAGACTTCTACCAGTACTCGTGCGGGGGCTGGATCAAGAGGAACCCACTGCCCAACGGGCGCTCCAAGTGGAGCACCTTCAACAGCATCTGGGACCAGAACCAGGCCATCATGAAGCATCTCCTAGGTGGGCACTGGGGGAGGTTGGTCATGGCCACTGGGAACATGACCACTGGGCGCAGGCAGGCAGAGCCCCAGTATCCCCAGGGCTGACCCGCAGCCTCCCGCAGAGAACGCCACCTTCAACTCCAGCAGCGAGGCGGAGCGGAAGACGCAGCGGTACTACCTGTCCTGCCTCAAGGAGCAGAGGATAGAGGAGCTGGGGTCCCAGCCCCTCATGGAACTCATCGACAAGGTGGGCGGCCATCCACATGTGAGCTGAGCTGTCAGGACTCAGCCCAGCACATCTGCTCGGCTCTTTGTGTTACTGGGGAGGGGGCAGCCCTCGGGGATGGACCCTATCCCTCCTTGAGGCACTGGGTTTGTCTGCTGGCAGATCGGGGGGTGGAACATCACCGGTTCCTGGAACCAGACTGGCTTCATGGAGGTCCTCAAGATGGTGTCAGGCACGTACCGGGCGACCCCCTTCTTCACAGTGTACGTGGGCGCAGACTCCAAGAGCTCCAACAGCAATGTCATCCAGGTTGGCACCTTGGCACGGAGGGGCGGCAGGCACCAGGGGGGCACCGGGCTGCCCATGCTGCCCTTGTCTCCTCCCAGGTGGACCAGTCGGGGCTTTTCCTCCCATCCCGGGATTACTACCTGAATAAGACTGCCAACGAGAGGGTGAGGCTGGGCGCCGGGCACCCTGCCGGCACGAGCAGTGCTGGGACACAGCTGGCACCCGCACCCTGCCCATCGGGTGGCATGGTGGCCAGGCTGGGGTGGGCAGCAGCTCTGAACTGCCCTGGGAGGTGGGATGAGCTGTGTGCAGTGCTGAGTGGAGGCTTGGGGTCCTGCCAGGTCCTGGCAGCGTATCTGGACTACATGGTGGAGCTGGGCACACTGCTGGGGGGGGCCCCGGAGCCCACCCGCCTCCAGATGCAGCAGGGGCTGGACCCAGCTGGCCAACATCACCGTGCCCCAGGCTGAGCGGCGAGATGACGAGAAGATCTACCACAAGATGAGCATTGCTGAGCTGCAGGTGGGCACAGCATGGCACAGCCTGGGGAAACCCTCTGGGGACTCAAGGGGGCGTTCCCAGTGGGGCACAAAGAGGTCCATGCCTGCTTCTGCTCCCCCCAGGACACCCCGGGCAGCCCCATCCATCCATTCTGGGACATGCACCCGGGTGCTGGAGTGTGGTGCTTATCCCCCAAGTCGTTAGGTTTGGGGAGGAGTTGCCACCCTGCATGGGGAGGTCCTGGGATCCCCTCCTTGTCTTGCAGCATTGAGAGCAGTGGGGAGCCATAGGAAGGATTTGGGGCAGACCATGGGACCTTCCTGGGGAGCACAGCCCCTGCCGCAGGGGATGCTGCTGGTGCTGGGCAGGATGGGGCAAACCTGTGCCAAGCACCCAGGTGCATCCCCATGGCACCCCAGGCCCTGGCCCCTGCCATCGACTGGCTGGATTACCTGTCCTATGCCCTGGCCCCGCTGGAGCTGGCCGACACGGAACCCGTGGTGGTGTATGGGGACACCTACCTCCAGCAGGTCTCCGACCTCATCAACGTCACTGACAGGAGGTGAGGTGCCTGCAAGCGCCCCGCCATGTCCCATTGAGGGCCTGCCCCCATGGTGGGGCAAATTTTGGGCTCGCTGGTAGCTGGGGCATCCCCTGTGGACCATGCCCATGGCAAGCCATGGCACATCTCTGCCCCTGCAGCATCCTGAACAACTACTTGATCTGGAACCTGGTGCAGAAGACCGCCTCCAGCCTAGACCAGCGCTTCGAGACAGCCCAGGAGAGGCTGCTGGAGACACTCTATGGCACCAGGAAGGTAACGGGGGGCTCTGGGACCAGCCCCCTCTGCCCCCAGCCCAGAGGCACCCAGGACCACCGATGCCCTTGGGATGCCCTTGGGATGCTGAGCCCCAGATGCTGCAGAGGGAACTAAGGGATCATCTATGGGATGGGGGTTTAGCTGCTGAGCATCTCCCTCCTGGCCAAGGGGCAGAGCCACTCGAGGGGCAGGGAGGGGAGCAGGGGAGGGGACTGGGGGTCTCACAGACCCCTGTCTCACTCCCACAGTCCTGCACGCCACGCTGGCAAACCTGCATCTCCAACACGGACGACACGCTGGGCTTCGCCCTGGGCTCCCTCTTTGTCAAAGCCACCTTCGACCGGGACAGCAAGGCCATTGTGAGGACACTTCTGCCCCCCTCCCCATCGCCGTCTGCGGGAACTCCCCTTCTCCCCCAAACCCCAGGGCTGGCAGGCGGGGAGCAGGGAAACGGGACCCCCAGCCCCAGGGAGGTCGCATCCTGCCCACCCCTGCTCCTCCCCAGGCGGAGGAGATGATCAGTGAGATCCGGGCAGCCTTTGAGGTGTCCCTGGACCAGCTGGACTGGATGGATGAGAAGACCAGGCAGGCTGCAAAGGAGAAGGTAATCCTGGGGAGGGGAGCGAGTGGGAGACCCCCATCCTGGGAAGCCTCCCACCCCATCTCCCCACTGGGGCCTCTCCCCATGCAGGCAGATGCCATCTACGACATGATCGGCTTCCCCGACTTCATCCTGGACAACAAGGAGCTGGATGACGTCTATGATGGGGTAGGGGGGCACCCAGCTCATGGGGAGGGGCCCTTGTGCTTGCTTACACCAAGCCCTGGGGTAGCCCATGGTGGGGTGATGTCCCTGTTTGGGGGACCCATTTGGGATGGAGTGTTATGCGGGGCCACCCCGGTACCAAGTGCATCCTGGCCAGGGTGGACCCCTCCTCATCCCTCCTCTTCCTCACCAGTACGAGGTCTCGGAAGACTCCTTCTTCCAGAACATGCTCAACTTCTACAACTTCTCTGCCAAAGTGATGGCTGACCAGCTCCGGAAACCCCCCAACCGTGACCAGTAAGAGGGAGGGCGCAGGTGGGGCAGAGAATGTGACACTGGCCCCAGCATGGCCTGGGTGGCACTGGTTCACTGGCGGTATGTTCCCCCATGGGATGGCACAGCATTGTAGGTCACCCGTGGTGGCTCTGGCTTGTCCCCAGGACAGCTGCAGGGTCCCTTGGTCATGGGGCAGGGGGCAGCGGTGCCAGCCCCAGGCAGGGCAGCACAGGGAACCCATGGTGGGAGATGGCACAGGAGGATGTCGGGGCTGGTGAAAGAGGGGACACATCCCTGCCTGTCCCCTGTCCCACCTTCGTGCCCCAGGTGGAGCATGACCCCGCAGACCGTCAACGCCTACTACCTGCCCACCAAGAATGGGATCGTCTTCCCCGCCGGCATCCTGCAGGCTCCCTTCTACGCCCGCAACCACCCCAAGTGAGCCTGGCATGGGGATGGGGGGCATCTTCTAGGGGTGGGGAGGGTCATGGGCTCCATCAGGGTCAGCACCCCACAGAGCCACCCGCATTCATGAAATGAAGCCCTGCGGGGGGCAAGAGTCCACCAAAGCTTTACATGCCCCAGCCAAGACAGCCTGCAAAGTCCCCATGGGGCCACCAGTGCCCACAGTAGGACTCATTCCCAGCCGGGTGCCAACCAGAGCAGAGTTTTGCCGGGTGCCCCAGACACAGACAGGGTGCCTGGGCTGCCGAGAGGGTGCCGGGGCTGGGGGCAGGCTGTGATGGCATCATCCCCCTGTGTTTACCTGGCTGTCTCCCATGGCCCCGCAGAGCCCTCAATTTCGGCGGCATCGGCGTGGTGATGGGGCACGAGCTGACCCACGCGTTCGATGACCAAGGTGAGAACCTGCGGGCAGCACCAGCCCAGACCCCCATCACCTTCCTGTGTGTCCCCCCGCCCCCAACCCCTGCCCTCAGCGT